ATTCATAGGTTGAATGTTATAATTTTCTTGCATCCAAATTTAGCAGGTAGTGTTTATCGAAATGATTATTTTCTCATTTATTTATTATATTTGTAAAGGCGTTTTGTTAATTAAATTATCAATTAATTAAAAATTATACAATTGTTGGAGAACGATGAGATAAGCTGGGACAGGATGGGACCAATAGTGCTGCATAAGGGTTTGTAATGCCCTGAGTGGTTGGCCAACCCGCGTGGCCTTCGTTGTTCCAATGGAGCCTTGGTCCTTCTCATTCGAGAATAGAACACGCTCTCCCCTCACTGATGTAACTCCCCTTCCATAGGTTAAAAAATATATCTATGTATATGTTTGCCGTACCCAGGCGATAGCTCGGCTCTATCGGCCCGTGGGTTTGGTATTTAGTCGTATCTACATGTTTGTCCTCGGCGGTGTTGCCAGATGTGATGGGTCATTTCCTCTTGTTTAGGGACCAGCCCCTGCAAAAAAACAAGTCCAATAGCTTCTCTGATAAAGGAACAGGGTAGGCTGCTTTTATAAAATTTATTCCTATGTTGCAAGCAGTTCTGGTTTATTTATATCCTCTCCATTTCCAATCTCTACTTGTGAGAAACCCTAGTTCTTCTGTCAATAAATAAAAGCATATTTATATATATATATATATATTTCTACGTACCATATTGCGACATAACGCGTATTGAGAAACATAGTTAGTTTAACTAACACAATATTGCTTTAAATAATTAGAAAATAAATTTATATTACAAATTATAGTAGTAAAAGAAAAATAATTAAATATAATATACAAATAACTGAAATGATAAACAATAGTGATAAATTAGGGTTTAGACAATGATGATAAGTAGAGTAGAATATTTACAACAGAAATGCGATATGGCAGAATAAGAACATTAAATAAATATTTAGAACAAACATTAAGGGCTTGAGACAATATTTACAATGGATAATACGATTTAGTAAAACAATAGATGTAGGAAATGTTATTGAGGGATGATTAGGCAACCGTTTAATTATTAAGTTTAGAGAAATTCGTTCCACAAATTCTGAGAAATATTTTTCAATCAGATCCTTCTTTGAAGGCGGCCATTGGTCTCCGTCCCCATCACAGCAGGGACCAATTTGTATCTGTATTTATCCAGTCTAGTGCAGTCATACAGGAGATGGTCGTATGTTTGCTCACTGTTGCCATCGCATTTGCAAATTTTGTTGTCACTTCACTTAAATCTGATCAAGTAGCTTTTGGCTGCTCCGTCTCCTCTCAAAAATTTTCTAGTTTAGATGAATTTTTTAATGTAGTTGTAAGTTTGCCTGCCTTTTGTTGATGTCGCCCAGATTCGGTCCCACGCTTGTCTTGTTGCTGTTCTTAGGAAGTGTTTAACCGCGCTGGTCGGTGCCATGTTGAATATTATCGGGAGTGCGTTGTCCCTTGCCACAGCCTTAGCCGCTTCGTCCGCTAGCTCGTTCCCCAAAATGGCAGCTTGTGCCTTTACCCATTTATAGGAAATATTTATGACTCGGCTATAGCAACAGATCAACGCTCGCCTGATTATGTTCTTTAGTTTATGTATTGTGATTTTATTACTATCAGTATGTATAAAGTAATTATTCTTGTTGTCAGATTTATTTAAAATATTTCATAAAATGCTGAAGTACGGTGTACCTAATGATATTCGGAACGCAAGTGTCAGATATGCTACTAATATATTTGTTAAGTGAGTTTTACATTCTTCTGTGAAACAACTTTTGTCAAACCCTTTTATCAAAGTAACACGAGATAGAAATACTTTGATTTCACAGTGTTACCCGAATAACGTTGAACACTAATAAAAATTCACACAACATACATTATAAATATTTAAACCTAATTTCTGTTTATTTTTTTTTCCAATGTTACTGTTTACTGATGCAAATGATTACCTATCACTAAAATACATTACTTCATATATTTTAATCTTTCTTTCGGGTTACCTTTCATTTTATTATATAGGCCATTTCTAACAAATTCTTCATAATATAATACATTTTTTATTTTATTTTTAATGAAATTTTGTAAGTTGCCACAAATATTAAAAAATAAGCTTATTACATTTTATATTAATACAATTAAATCAGTATGAAGTCATATTGGCAGAAAAGATTTGAGAGTTCAAAAAAGAAGAGCTTTTTTTTTTAATTTTTGTTTTTTTCGGTTCATCAATTATAGGAAATCCTTTAAAGTAGGAACCCTCCAAACGACTTCTTATTCAGTTTCAGCATTTATACCATCTTATGCATTTTTATTTATTTCTCCTCTGAAACACATGAGTGGAGCTTAATCTATTTTTTTATAAAAGAAATATTTGAAGTTCTTTCTAATTTCGAATATCCGTGTGCACCCGATCAAACATATATAGGTCGCCAAGGATTCACTTCAAGGCAAGAGTGTTACCCTTGATAGGTTGGATAAACATTTATAGCACAGATAACAGTATTGATAGGAACACATCTCAAGTTGGTTATCTACTTATAAAAAAATGTCTTTTAAAAAAGAGTAATGGAAATCCTCTCTCTAGATCGGTTTCCCATGGGCTGTGCAAGACTCTCCTGATAGCCATGTTCTGATTTCCCTGGGTGGGTCCCTTTTAGGTATGGAAGTGGTGGAACGTAGCGGGGTGTTCTCATTCGCCTCTCTACAAGAAAGTGGGTACGTATTACACCGGAAATTCTCAGGTTGCATGTGGTACGTACTGGTCCATCTATAAATTTTAAAATTTATAAGATAGGACCATAAGAATTTCAGTATTCGTGAATATTACCACATTTTACTAGGTCTTTCTAACTACAGCTGATTTAAGGTGTTCTTTGTTTGATATCAGTGAATTAGTTTTTATTGTTTTTATATTCAATGTACCAATGTAAAAACGATAATTTTGCCAATCATTTATAGATTGTTTAAAAATTACTAGACGTTGGTCACCCATTCTTTCCTTCTCACTGCTTACGAATAAAAAAAAATTAAAATGTTTTTTATTAATTTAATTTTTATTCTATTATGATTTGATTTCAGATCTCGTTTCATTTTTTTTAGTATATGAATCTAAGGCATAACTCGTCATTGATTCCGCTACCTCCCGCATATTCTTGCGGTGAACTTGAGAACCATATTCTTGTATTGTTTATTGTTATTCTTAATTAATTGAGAATTTTGGCAGTTTTTATATAAATTAGTTGATTACAGTTGGAATTTAATTCTAATTGACTGGCTTTACGCTTCTTAAAATAAAACTCAGTTCCATAAGCATTTACTGTAATTTAATTCGAAGATTCAGAAAGGGTGATTTGAAGTACCAGTATTGTTTAGAATACATTTATTTCTTACAAAACTCTTATTCTTTTTGTTTTCTTATACAGCGAAAATTATTGTAGGAGTGGTGCAAGAAAGGGAATAAATATTTTCTTTCCGCAAGTACCTAAATAAATATTTGTCGTCCTTCAAAATTTTGTATTCTTCTAGCTCAAACCTCTAGGTTCGTGTAAAAGTTCGTGAAACTCAGCTGAAATTATATTTCGTAATAGTAGAACTACGAAGGCTACGAGATGTTCCATCCGGTTATAAATGATGATACGCCGAGGGAGGGGGGAATAACGAAATGCTGATGAATACTTTCATGCATTGGTTATGGCATGCAGGAACCAACTTATTCCAAAGATTGGTCATTTCAGGTATTAGGGATAGCTGACTCACCATCCAAAATTACGTGCCTAAATATGACGTCACTTTACGATCCTAACATCCTTCTAGAAACTTTGATATAATTTCATGACGCACCCAATAATTCTAAGGGAAAAAAATCATTTGTTTCGGTAATTAAAATTTATTGATTCTTATTAATATTGTCACTACCTATCGCTATACTCCAACCACTCGTGGGCCAAATAGGATGTGAAATGACCCATGAGTGTGATATCCTGTTGAATTTTTTTTTTGGATTGAAGGCCTGTTCAATTACTGAATAACAATAATTATAAATGTTCGTTATTAAATATCTTAAAATATTATATAGCCTAAAACTCTATTCAAAACGGATTCAGAATTTAATTTTGGGGATCAGGAGAACTTCATCCGGAAAACTTTTTTTATATAAAATTAACGATAATTACCGTATAAGAAAAATAAAGAAATTATATGAAATGGCGTGTTAGCGATTATTGAAGTCCTATGAAATCTAATTAAACAAGTAACAATACTTTTAGAGATAATTTTTCAATATTTGTTCATAAGACATGGTTATATTTTAAGGGGGGGGGCTTGAGCTGGAAATCCTCTCCTCCTCAATAGATCCGCCTATGCCTACAAATGTAACTATTAATTAAAGGAAATAAACATTTTATTGGATTTCTAATTTATAGTATGCAAAAGATATATATATATAAATAAAAAAGTAAATTTAATAAATATACCAAAATAATTGCTGTCATTGTGAGTTGTTAGAATTGTTGTTGAAAATGCTGCTAGAATTATTCTCTAAAATCCCCAACATAAACACTTGTGAAATGCCTCATGTTATTTTATCTTCAGTATGATAGTTAGTTAATTTAGTAAATATTTGGTCCTTTTAATTACATTATAGGTGAAATTCAAAACATCCTGGGTATAGTTGTTTGACTTGGCATCTGCTTATAGATACACCCACCTCTCTGATGAGTTCTTGAAATGTCAGTTGAAAAAATAAATCAGGCTGCGCTGATCCACTCTTTCTCTTTAAAATTCCATGAAGTCCAAAATGAAGTTTCTTCTACCATATAGTAGTGTCCATAAAGCAATAGGTTTTCAGTTAGTTTCTTTCATTGTTCTTTCTTATGAAAGCTATCTCAATTGTTGTCCTGTATGTCAGATTGTGAACTTATGCTTGTAAAATTACCTATCTTTTCAAAACATAATAAAAGTTATTCGTTTACTCAGGTTTGAGTTGTATCATAAAACAATTTTTGTTTTGTTTCAGGAGGTGAGCAACTTAAAGCGAAGGCAAGGAGCTATTATTGAAAGTATGCATCATCATGGTAAAGGTGTCTACTCAGGTACCTTTTCAGGTTAGTACTCAATAAATATTTTAATTTAAAACTTAAGTTGAAAACTAAGATCAAAAAAAAAAAAAACAAGGGAAAAAAGAAAACCATGACGATATAGTGAACAGAAATATCAATCGATAGCAAATTTTGGAAGAAACTAGGATTTTTGAGAATTTCCTTAGCTCTCATAATCCTGCAGCAGATTGCACTGTATTTTATTTTGCCTATATATTATGCACAGCAATTTTGTTTTCTTCTTAACATTTTATCACATCCTAGTATTCTATTTTAAAATAAGTATCGCAATATGATGAAAATTTTTTGTTCTAAGATTTCATAGTTCTTAGGGATTTTAAATTTAGTCAGACATTATGTTATATGGTTTGGAGTTGCTCACAATAGATTGTTATAAATATTTTTAACTTACTTTTCTGTGACTTATTGTTAGCTTTAAATATTTCAATACTGAATTCAATAGCTTATTGCATATTTGAAAGATTACATTTAATCATTGTTATTTTTATGTTATCAATCACTATATGGTAAGGCATAGGAAAGTAGCGGCCCCATCGCCCGGTCATAGTACCGCAGATAGCCACTGGCCCTCCAGGTTGTGGGAACAGTACTCTGACGCTCACACATATATACTCTATGCAGCACACTCACTCACATTATAATCGAAGGTCATAAACAGTACACACCCTAGGGTCACCTTCCCTAGGTAGCCGCGCCCGGATGGGGAAGTGTGTCAGGATACTTCGAGGAGGCAGCCCCCCACCTGACTTGGGGGCCAATGGGCTGATATCCTATTCCCCTTAAATTATTTTATCAACAAAGCTCAGAAAGGATTAGCCGGACTGATATACAGAAAACAAATCAGGAAACGTCAATTGGAATATACGATCGCCTCATGGACTATTTTGACACTTTATAGACCTGGAGCACTGCAAGTGCTTCTAAACACCCTTGAAGACTATAAATTAGACATAGGAAATCTGGTGGACCGGGCAGGGCAGCCTAAAGAAAGGAAGCCACACTGTATACTATAGCTGTGATGACCGCCTCCACACATTTGGGACTGGTTTTGTTGTTAAAAAAGAGACTTATCTCAGAATGTGATTGATTTTAAACCAATTAGTCCTAGACTCTGCATGCTTCGACTTAAGGGGAAATTCTACAATATTAGCCTGATATGTGTTCATGCAGCTACAGAAGTGTCAGAAGAGGACGTGAAAGATGCCTTCTATGAAGAGCTTGAAAGGTGTGTCGAAAGCAGTCCCAGATACGACATGAAGATTGTGCTAGGTGATTATAATGCACAAATAGGCAAAGAACCTACATATCGACCAACAATAGCCTACATGATATTTCCAATGATAATGGGAAGAGACTCATAAACTTTGCGGCCTCAAAAGGTCTTTGCATTGGTAGCACATGTTTCCCTCACAAGAAAATACATCTGGCTACATGGAGAAAATTTGGAGCTAATGGTAGAATCTCAACTTCACAAAATTATTCATGTGCTCATCATGTGTTTGGTTATTCATTCAGTTTCTAGCCTTAAGTGTATCTTTCTCTTTTTGTTAATATTTATTATGACCATTCTTATTCAAGACAGAATACTTTTGAGATGCAATAAAGTTGTTGGGTTGGTGTTTAAATCATGATATGCCTTGTCATATTGTCATTATATTCAATTATTTGTCAATTTATCCAGATTAAGTTGTAAAAATCCAGTTTCTGGTTTTAATTAGTGGAATTGTCTGCTGATTGAAGTCTTTTGTTGTAGTCAACTCTTAATATTTTCTGTTTTAAAGTAGTTTTCAGTTAGTTCTTTTTTAATTTTAAATTATCTCTATTTCAAAATTGGATGATATCTTCATCAGCCTTTCAATCTTGGCTGGACAAACTTGTTTTTAAATTAAAAATAAATTTGTGCTGTTCGTTTAATTACTTTGATCGATTTTATCCCTTTCTTTTTTTTAAATTTTAGGTACCCTGAATCCAGCTCTCCAAGACAGGTTTGGTCGTCCAAAGAGAGATATATCAACTATAATACATATTTTAAATGACCTTTTATGTGCTACTCCTCAGTATAGAGCTGCAGCTGCTCAAGAACAGGCAAGCAAACCTCAGCCACAACCATCTACATCATCTTCAACAAGTAGTTAGTAAATTTATTACTTCTCCTTTTTTTCTTATCATCTAAATTTTAATATTTTGTACATTTGAATTATGTACTTTGTTTCTATACTTTTTTTTTTTTTTACTTGCATACTAAGAGAATGGTGTGGACTTTCTACAAAAAGGTCCATTATACAATTATAATTAAATTTTGAAATTTTAGCGGTTTCAATAATGCCCTTAATCTTTTCTGAGGACTCTTTGAAGAGACTTGAAGCAATTATGTAGTAATTTCTTATCATTTCAATCTGTATTGTATCTAGTAGTTTCATTTTGTCAAGATTAATAAAACTCAAAAATTCATACGGTAATAGTTCAGTCGTTATTTATTCCAGAAGCTTATAAACACTCCTACTGAAAATGCTATCCAATATTTTCAGCACAAATATATATGTACAATATCTATGCACTTAGATAATATATTCAGGATATAAGTTTGAAATAAAGTCTGTTAAACTTTAAATCTCTAATTGTAAGGTTTACCAAATTCTTCTTTACAATCAACAATTGTCAATTTTGTTATTAAAACTGCCAGCTTTAAATTCAGTTTTCTTCAATTATCACCAAATTTAGACTTTTTTTTTGTTTTTAATCAAAACGTTATAATATATACTATACGTTATAATGGGTGAACAGACTAAGAAAAAGTTATGTGAGAACCTAGCCCACACGATGCCAATTTAATTCCTACCTGTTTAGTTTGTGGCAGTCTAGGTTAGCTAGGACTTGTATTTGGACTTGTTCTTTTTCCCATATTGGCTTAGTATTAAGTTTTGGAGTGAGCTGGTAAGTATATAAAGAGCTATTGGTCATTGTTTGTTGTAAATATATTGTTTAAAGGTTTATTGATTTCTATAATTAATTATCTTTCTAAGCGACCACAAGTATATTTCAATTTTTTTTTTTCTGTAATAATATTCATTTAAACAGTTTCAGTTTGATATGTATAGTAAAATTATTATGTTTGTATTTTTACCAATAGATGAGGTGACCCGTGTGGTAGAAAAATCCTCAGCTGAAAGTGATGAAAATAGAGCAACACGAGGGAAAATGGAGAGGTTGAGACTTGTATTAGGTCAACGAAGGGAAAGGAGAAGGGCAATGAGATCTCAACCATACCCTACAGGCCACGATCATGTCACAGCATAACGTGTGAGTAAACTATTTTATTTGTCTGGGCTCCAATCCATATTATTTAATTAACATTTAGTTAATTATTTTTATATATTGTTGTTATTGCTTAGTTGTTTTGGCACTTCTTACTCAAGGTTAAATGGCATCAAAAGCTGTTACGGGATTGCTCCATTGTAGATGGTGCATATCTTTTTTCTTTTATATTTGGTTCAATGATGTGTTCTCTCCATAAAAGTCAACCAATTATTCAATTACATTTTATTGAGCTGTTGACTATTCTTGATATTTAAAAATTTTTTTAAAAATATAAAATTGATATTTGTAATATATAAATAAAAGGTTGTTTCCGTTAATAACATGGGCGTTATAACATTTCCAATATTTTTTTATTCTAATGATGTTCGATTCTGTTTAATCCAGTGAGATTGTCCCCAATTTTGTTATATTTATTTAGTCATTACTCCGAAATACTTCATCGAAAAATTGTACTTACTTTGTTAAGGTTAAAGATTATTAGATATTAAATTCATTCAACTTGGCTAATGGATATTGTTTAACAATTAGGTATTGAACTAAATTACAAAAATAAGTTATGTAAATTTCTTTCAATTGTATCAATAGTTTTTTGGTACGGTGGGAGGGGAAGACTTTTTCTTCAAATAATTTAACCTGAGTATAAGTGAAGAAATAATGGGATTTAATAAAACTAAATCTGGTCTTACTGAGTTTTGTTTTGAATCAAGGTTTCTTCAGGCTCGAAAAAGTATAAGAATTTCATGAAAAAAAAGATCAAAAGTCAGGAAATTTTACAAGCTAGAAGAACCAAGCATGAATTGGCAGTTGTGATTCTGAATCAATTACACTGTAATATCTCATTGATTTTTTTCATCTTGAACAATACTTAACTTTTTTTTCAGTATTTTGTTTTTAAAAATTATATTCTTAAAACTGATTATTAAGAAACATTTTCCGTGCTGAAAAAGATGGTTATTTTTTTTAAATGTTTATAAAAGGGTGTTTTTATTTTGTTAAATAATTTTTAAAGCTGGAATTACTCATGATGTTCCTACAGGTTTTAGTATAGTAAAACTTGATCAATTCAAATTTAAGGGGAGTATTGAAAATTTTTGAATTAAACAAGTTTTAACTATAAGTTTCATTGAGTCCACATTGGTTTTTATGAAATAATAATACTATGTCCAATAATAAAATATTAAAACTATTCAGAAGAACAAACCTATAGCATTTATTTATGCTTCATGAATTCATTAAGCAATTATAAATTTATACATTTTCCATAAGGACTTCAATATTTTGAATTACGGTATTTAAATTGTTAAGTATGTTTCTCAGTCCATCAATTTAAAGTTTAAAAAACATTTTATCACACAAAAATCTTGTTTTGGTTTTATTTGTTTGTCTAAGAATTCTCTAATCTTTTTATTTATTTATTACAGTTGTTGTTGTTATTTATGTTTGTTAGTTGGTTTTTATTCTTTAACCAACTAATCTTACATCTGATTATTGCAATGCATTTAGATCATCAAAATATTTTTTTTATATTTGACTTAGAAATTTTGTTACAGAATTTCAAGAAAAAAGAGCCTTACAGACAAGAGCTGAGATGAGGACGAAAAACTGCCATTGTATATAAAGCCCTCATCATTTAGATACATCATTCCTCATACCTGATAGGCTATAGTGATACAAATTGCTTTTTACCCAGATTTAATTTTTAAAAAACAGAGTTTTGTTCTTAATTTTTCATTTTTTATGTGAAGATTTAAATGAAGAAAGATGATGAAATATTATGCGTCGAGAGGATATGAAAAAAAAAAAACATCTTTTTTTTTTTCCTTTTGTAATTAAATATTAACTTTTGTTTGTGTAAATATATGTCATGTGGGTGTACAATACTTTTTTTATGTATAATAGTTGAATGCGCTTTACACATGCGTTTTCCCAAAATGTTTATCCTTAAGAAACTACGGGTTTGTCTCTTGCGAAGGACAGACTCGCCCTGAAACAATGGGTTACTGTTAATATGTATATGTATTAAGTATTCTAAATTAGTGCACATTATTCTTTGAAGTAAATTGAGCCTCGTCTGAGGAAAATAAATTGTATTTAGGGTATTAAGAAATTTATTTAGAAACTCTTCTTTTTATTGCTATGTATAAATATTAGTCAAGTTTTTCCTGTAGTTAGCCTTTAGTAAGATGTAGATTTATACTCGAGATTATGCTATAAAGAAGAGTAATACCAGAGTCAAATGTAAGACTTCTGATAAGAATTTCCATGTGTTATATTAAGACAACAATTTTTAATAGAACACATTTTATGTATTAAGTTGCAAAGAAATTGTTAATAAATTATTCCAGTATATACTCTTCTTACACTTTGTTTTCATTGATTGGACTTTAAACAGATCCAATTCTTGATCTTTACCATTCAAGAAATGCTACTTACTTTTTCTCATTTCTAGGCTAAAAATTTCTTTTATAATTTTTCTGTTATTTTTTTTTATTACATATTTGCGAAAATAAAAGTACATTTTATTGTTTTGATTTTTTATTATTATTTTTTTTTTAAGATTAAAATATATTATTGAGCTTCAAATTTGTGAGACAAAATAAAATATTTAATGACTGAAACATGAAAAATTCTGTACTGCTATCAAAATAATTTGATGAAAATTCCCAGTAACCTATCAACAATATTTACAATACTTTCAACATTGGGATAGCCACCCTGGTCCCTATCACCTATGAGTGGTGTAGAAATATTTTTGTTTATTATAACCAACTTTAATGAAGATTATATTAGTTATGTTTAAACCCAAGCCATAGCATCAGAAGCTTGATGAGCATTGCGTATAATAGTATTATCACAGTGATACTGGCCAGCCAACAGTCCAGTACTTGTGGTAAGGATGCGTTGAATCAAGGGAAAGGAGTAAGCTTAGATAGCTTGTCCTCTTCTAATTTGGAGTGGATAATTTTTAACTGTAATGTTTATTTTCATGGGTGATAAATATTCAGGACGCAGTCCTTATAACAATTTTTTATTTGTGCTGACGTTTCAACTCAAACATTTGGGTCATCATCGGGGCGTGGTTCGAGTTCTGATGATGAGCCACATGTTTGGGTTGAAACGGCACAAACAAAAAATTTTATAATGACTGCATCCTGAATATTTATCACCCATGATATGTAGAACAGGCAACTAGCTTCCTTCAGTCATTTATTTTCCTACAAAAATTTACTATGAGATCAATTACATTACAACAATACAATTGCAAATATTGTATATATTTGGAGATATTTTGGGCAGTTTTTTGTTCTCATTTTTATACCATTAGAAATGGTTCAAATTTTTCAAAAATTGTAAGTACAATTCGGTCTCTAGTTTTCTTTTACTTAATTTAATTATTATTTTTAGTATTTAAAAATTATTTACAAAAACGTTATCTGTAAATCTAAATTTTGTTCTCTGTCTAACAGCATTCATATAAAAACAATCAAGTCTCAAAATGTCACCAAAATCTAGTTTATTTAATTCTAGATCCCTAGAAAATATTGTCAGTTTATTCAGCAAACTCACTAAATACAGTTTAGATGGAACTAAACTTTAACCATGTTTATGTGAATTTCGACCTTCTTTACAGACACAAAAAAAACATAAAAGTGCTCAATTTTGGGCTACACAAAAAGTACTTGGTGATTTACGTTTAAGAAATTATTATTCTTTAAAGGAAGATTTGAAGTAACTGAAAATAAATTGGGGCCATGAGAAAAATTGAGTTGTTATTAGAAAAATGATAATAGGAAAACATGATTAATGATTTAGCAAGAAATGGTACGATATATGAGTCATATATTTTCAAAGTGGACCATAATCATTAGTAATCATTTTTCAGAAAACTTGAAAAACTATATTTTCTTTTCCAATTGTAATATCAAAACCAATATTTTTTTAAAAATAAATTCTTTATTTGTGGAACATATTTCTGAAAATCATTTATTATCCCAGTAGTAATTAAAAAGAGGAGAAGTTATAAAAATTTACCATAAAAAATTAACTTTTTGTTTAGAATAATAGTACCATAAAATAAATTTATTTTTCATTTGAATAAAACTTAAAAAAGCTTCCAATGCTGGTTTCTGAAATAATTTTATTTTCTCATGTCTTTTTTTTACTTTCATTTACCTATATATGTAATATATAGTAAGGGTAAGTATTGCGATCATGGAAATTTTCAAATCTGAATTTTCAACAAAAGTACACGTTTTGAGGTCTCCTGAGTCCAAATAACCAAGTCCCGCAAAAAAAAATTTATTTGAAATAATGAACCGTTTCACATTAATCTTTAATATACAAAAAGTAGTTAAATATAAAATATGAAAGAATTTGATAATTAATTTAAGTAAAAATAAAAAATCGTAATGGATAATAGTCGTAATGAAAGATCCAAAGGAGCTCGCCCGAAAGATTACCAACAGGTTTCCATAGGTAACATGAGCACTAATATAATATGGACTTCTACAATATTATGTACATATACAAATGCGGTTTTCATAAATGCTATTGTTGGTATTATTTAATATTTAATTTTATAGAATACAGCGTTATAAAAATTAAAATTTTTCTTTATAAGAGTATTTAATAAAATAAAAATACTCACAATGAAACATAAATAAATAAAGACTCTATAATTTTTACTTTCACTTCCCCTTTGTCTGATAATACATATTTCTGTTAAGAAGAGGATGGTAAATGAAAGTTGTGTGATGCGTGCACCAGATTTTTTAGTTAGTTTTTTTTTTTTAAATATAATATTAACATTAGATTCACTGGGTGTTTTATATGGGAATTAATAATTATCTTAGTTTTGATAGATATTTTATTTTGTTCTTTAGTAGCTTTATATTATTTGAAGTTAGCTTATTTTTTTTATTTATTTATTTTTTTTAATTTGTAAATATGGTGTGAATGTGCTCTCAGAACTCTATTATAAATGTACTTTATTGAGACAGATTGTAATATTTATCAATAAACCAAAAAAAAAAAAAAAGTTTTGATAAAATTCAATTAGGCTTCACTTTGGAAATAAGTGACTCATATATTACATACACGTAGGCAACCTTAAGCCTTAATGAGTTTTTATGCTGCATTCATAAATGCCATATCCGGTATTTAATTATATAGATTACTTAATTTAAATTAAGTTTTAGTATATATGTTTAAACAAGTAAAAATACCCTTTTGAAAAATTAAGGGTGTGTTGTGAAAAATCAATAGATCCTCGAATTACTGTCCTAATTGTTAAATTAGCTGCCCAACTGGTAGACTCATTCTTTTTTTTTTTTTTTAATATAAAAGTTATGAATATTCAAAAAATGCTTTCAAAATTTTCATATTTTATTTATTATTTATTTGTATTTTATGCAATTTACACCTGCGCATTTAGCAAATTTGGTGTATTTGTACTGTCTTGGTGCATTTGCTTGATTTTGTTTTTTATTGATATAGTAGGTCTCTTGGCCATTTCCTTCTTAATATGCGTTGTTCAGGTAACAGGGAGCAGGAAGATTGGAAAAAAAGGAAAGAACCAGAGGATTGGAGTGATTTTGGGTTGAAGAATAAAATGTAGTGTATTTGTCGTTGATGTAGGATTTAACTGTTGTGGTGTTTTAAGTCGTTATGTATAGTAAGTAGTATTTTAAATGTACCAAGGTGCGTTAACAATTTTTCATAAAATTTTTTATTGTGCTGTTTGTATTTTGTTTATGTGTGTTTGTTTTGCTTATCAATTTTTTCGCATGGGCTCTTGGACTATGAGGGGACTAATAAAACAATGTAGACTAATTAATTAAACCACACAAGAAGTTTAAAGAGGCCATCCACAAGCAGTCTGTTCTAAATGGAGCGATATAACTCCATTATCGTATTCATGCCCAATAAGAGAGGAAGCAGCAAGGGTGCCCAGCCATCAGTTTTTGTTTTTTACCTTCTAAACTAATTACTTTACCTATATTAAATAATAATTATGTAATTTTTTTGTTGCATCAAGGATGGAGTTAGGGTTTCAGTGATGAATTTAACATATTGATGGCCTGTAGAAGATTTTCCTAGGTTCTCTGCTTTCTATGGCCCTGATAATGTTATCTGTGATGAAACTGATTTTAATATCCACCTGCGTGGTCCATCAAGCCACCAGATGGTGAAATGATGGTCTTAATGCTTCTCAGTCTTTCACCAATCACCAAGTGGCTAAAATCAGTAGCATTGTTGGATTCCGGAACATTGTCTTCTTTCTTTTCTTATTTTAAATTTTATAATGAAACACATTCTGTTTGCGTGGTATTATTTTGATCTGAGTATCGGAAAAAACAATGTTTTATATATTAAGTAATATTCAGAACAATTTATTAATTATTACTCATAGTTATATGAACAGTAGACCTCACGATAAAATCTAATATTTCCTCTTTATTGTAGGATTTAATTAAAGCCAATGTTCATTGGTAATTATAGCCCTATTCATTGGGAAGCTATATTGTTTTCAGTGACAACTATCAGATTGTATCATTGAAATTATTAGTGGGGGTAAAGCCAAAAATTGTTATTTTTAAGTTACTGCTTAAAAACAGAGGTGAGATGGCCAAGCAGGCTAACCTAACGCGTGTGCACAGCACTGCAACTGCCAGGCAACCATATTAACGCTAATATGATAAAGTAATTACAAGGGGTCCCAGTGCCAGAGGAGCATTTATCTCTGGCATTAATCCCCGGGCTCAGTAAAACTACCCTATAGACTAAAAAACGAGGAAGGGGTGGATTTAAAAAATAAAAATAGTTATTACTTAAAATTCTTACTATTACCAAATTTTAAGTCTTTCAATTAATTAAAAAAAAATGTAACAAAATACTAATCAAAGTAATTTTAAATCACCAATTTTTTTATCAGAATATCATCTGAGAAATTCTCTGCATTTAAAGAAAATTACCAGAGTGAATCAATATTTTCTTATAATTTCAATAATTTTCTTTGAAATATTTGAATATATATATATACATTTTATATAGAACGAAGGCCAAAGATCTTCATGGTCTATTGCGCCTAATGAGGAAAAAAACATATATATATGTAAAATTGAATGAATATTGGTAACTTGTTAATGTTTTAATCCTAATTTTTTCCTGCAGGAGATCCATCCTCCCTTTAAAATTGAGGAAATATTTCTAACAGAAGTATCACAAAAATAATTGTAATCCTTATTGAACCTTTTAAAAAATAATTAAATAAAAATAAAAATTAACTCCCCTGAATTTGAAATTTACAATTTGAAGCTCTTACAGAAAAGGTTTCTCTGGACAGTACACATATTTTATATCGTCCAATTTTTTTCTAGAAAAAAAAGAATTAGAGATTTACAATTTGAAACTCTTACAGAAAAGGTTTCTCTGGACAGTACACATATTTTATATCATCCAATTTTTTTCTAGAAAAAAAAAGAATCTAGAACTATATATTAAACACATGAAACAATAGGTGAAATAAGTTTGCAATGTTCAATAATTTTAATTTTATTCTGCAAAAAGTTTATTCATAAAAATTGATTGAATTAAAGATATTAGGTACATTTAAAA